TGGGGAAAACGGACTAACACCAAATCATTCACTTTGTACTCCGTAGGTAGACGATGATGGGAATTGTAGCACCGTTGTTGTCCCACTTGTACGTGGCCTAAGTGTTTAGCAGACTCTGCTCGGACAAGTGGAAGAATGCTTGTCAAATATTGATCCCATGACCTAGCATTAGGAGCTCGTGGCAATCGCGAAGGTAAACCCAGCTCTGTTGGTAATATTGGATCATGACCATATAGAAGTTTATATAGTGAAGCACCAACAGAACTCTGCACCCCTGTGACATAGGCATACCGAAGAGACAACAAATAACCATCCCAATCCGAATACTGAAAGTTCACATACTTCGCAATCATCCCTTTAAATTTCCGAACAAGCCGTTCCACCAGACCGTCTGATTGTGGATGATAAGCACTCGTAAAAGTGTGGCGTATCCCCAACCGAGATGTCAAAACATGAAATACCTCAGCCATAAATGCAGGACCATTATCCGAAAGAATCCGCTCTGGACAAGAATGCTGGAACACCACTCGATTGAGGAGGAAGTATCCAACAACAGTTGCAGAGGCACTAGCAAAAGCACCAACTTCCACCCAACGAGTCAAATAGTCAGAAGCAATAATAACATACTCATTGCCAGCAGTCGATCGTGGAAAAGGTCCCATAAGATCAAACGCCACCAACTCAAACGGACGAGAAACTGCAATTGACTCCAACCGTCCTTCCGCAGCACAAGGGGGAGTATTACAAGTTTGGCACCAAACGCAGTTACGCACATACCGGATAATATCATGTCACATCTTTGGCCAATAGAAAGATCTACGCAGCTTCTCGGTGACACAACGGTGTCCCATATGCCCACCTAGAATAGGAGAATCATGGTAGGCATGGAAAAACCGCGGAATAAACACCGAAGCCACCACCAGCCATAAATGATCATCAGGATCCGTCCCCACAAAATAAAGAAGGCCATCTTCAAAGTGATATTGAGAATGTAAATGCCGGAAAGGCAAGTCATCAGCAAGTGATGCAGGATTCTCAAACCCATCTCGAAGCTTTCGAATCCACAGCTCAATCTTTTGAGCCTCGCGAACCTCATCAAGAGAAGGTAGATCTTGCTCTGCGCTCTGTGGACACTGAACGTCAAGGACAGCAACTGCCGACGGCACAAAATCCTCATCTAGAAAATCCACAGATGCTGGAACAACAAGTTCGTCAGAAACATGAGAAGTGAGTGGAGAAGGAAAAGGAGCTCGAGAAAGGGCATCAGCATCAGCCATAGAACTCCCTGGGTGATGAACAACATCGAAATCATATATCTGAAGCTTCAAAGCCCATCGAGCTGTACAACCAACTAGGTTCTTCCGCTTCAATAATGAAGTAACAGCAGCATGGTCACCTTCAAGTAACGTCCGAGAACCATGTAGATATGCATGAAGTTTCTCGAAACCCCAGACTGCTACTAAACACTCCTTCTCCGTCGTGGAGTAGTTCATCTCCGCTGGTTGTAATGTACGGCTTATATATGCAATGGGATGGCACTGACCAGGCACACTCGAGCTCTCTTGCATCAACACACCTCCAAGACCAATGTCAGAAGCATCCACGCGCAAAATAAAAGGTCGAGTGTAGTCAGGATATGCCAAAACCGGAGGAGTCGTCAATAGCTCTTTGAGATTCACAAACGCCCGCTCACAATCGGGAGACCAGATGAAAGATGACGTTGATGACTTCAGCAACGCTCGCAATGGTGTAGTGCGATCAGAAAGATGATCCACAAAACAACCAAGATATTGCACCTTACCCAAAAAGCGCTTCACATCATTCACACACTTCGGAGTAGGGAACTTTAGAACAGCCACAAGTTTGTCAGGATCAACTTGCAAACCCTTACGAGAAATACGGTACCCAAGATAAGTTGTGTTCTTGGACCCAAACACGCACTTTGACTGCTTCAACTTTAAACCAACGTCGCGTAGCCGATCCAACACTTTACAAACATCACGAATGTGCTCCTCCCACATCCCCTCCGAGTGGATCAAGACATCATCAATGAAGTCAGCCGTCACCTCCGGCATATCGCAAAGAACCTCGTCCATCATCCCCTGAAAAGTTGCTGGAGCATTGTTCAAACCAAACGGCATAACCAAAAACTCGTACAAACCAAATGGTGTACGAAAAGCAATCTTAGGAATATCTTCTTCGGCCATCAGTACTTGCCAATACCTAGAAGCAAGATCAAGCTTGGTGAACCAACGACTTCGCCCCAGACAATCCAAGAGATCAGCAGTGTGAGGAAGAGGGTACACGTCCGCATTTAACGGACGATAGTCGATGCAGAAACGAATACTCCCATCAGGCTTCGTCACAAGATGAGGTTCACATGCCCAAGGACTCCGCGACTTCTGAATAACACCCTTCTCCAACATCTCCTTGACGTTTGCATGTAAAATCTTGATCTCCTTGGGTGACCGACGACGAACAGGAACGTTGATTGGACGAGCATCCCCGGTTGGAATGGGATGACATGTGGCAATCTTGGCCCCAGACGATAGGTCAAATTCAAATACCCTTTCATGAGCTGGTCAACAGCTACAACACAAAGATCATCAGAGGGATCAGAAAAGGGAAGAGCAGAACAAGATGGAAACACAAGAGGAAATAGTGGGGGAACAAAAGTAATAGAAGCAGAGGTAGAAGTAGAGGGACGAAGAGGTATGGAAGTGAGAGGAATGGATGAAACATAATGAAGTATGAGACAAGGGGGAGAAGCCTCAAAGTCACACTTGGCATGATTGTGCTGCAACCAATCCATACCAAGAATGAGGTCAAAAGCTTGACTCGGCACCACCCGCAACGACTGCAACTCAAGCTCAAGATCGCCCACACGCACAACCAGGTTCGCCTCATCTCGTGCACATGCATGTGTACGGCCGTTGCCATAAAGAATGAAAACTGGATCCGCCGCACGACGCAAGTGTAGACAACAACGTGTGGCAACAGGTCGAGCAATAGAAGATAAACTCGAACCTATATCAACCAACACGGAGAGAAGAATAGGAGACCTTTTGTTATAAAAACGAGCTTGGAAAGTAAACACTTGATGAACCGGTGCCGAGTGAACCCCTTGATGATACTCCCGAAAGAAAGATGAAGGGGTCACTAACTTATTCGTGTAAGGTTCCTCCATTACTCGCACAACTCCTCGTTTCCCGAATGCACCTCGGTATCCAAACCTTCCACCGCAGCAGCACCAACGGGACGTTGCTGATGCCAAGGTCTCGGAAATGGAGGTCGCCAATCCGGAAAGCGCCGACAACGCCGATAAGTATGACCAACTTCATCACACGCCCAGCAACGAACGTCACAGCCACGACCACGTCCTCGCCCTTGTCCTTGGACTCGAGTAGTAGCAGCATCAACCTCCATGAGAACAGGACCATCACTCATAGGAAGTGGAGCTGAAGGACGTGTAGCAAAAAGTGGAAGAGGCGACGTCTCATAACGTTGTGCCAAGCAAAGAGCATCGTCAAGAGTGGCAGGAGCAAGTGCATGCACAAGTCCGACAAGATCTTGACGAAGTGTTGGCCACAACATTCCTAGCTTGATCCGCTCCGACATATTTGGCTCTGCACGAAGCAAAAGACTTCGGAAACGAACACCAAATTGCATCACTGACTCAGATGGCCCTTGGCGAAGATGATACAATTGTTGGAAGGCATCATCACAATCGTCGGCATGTCCGAAGGCGCGTTTGAAGATGTCCAGAAGAACACTCCAATCGCCACGAGTGGCTGCGCTCAATCCATTGTACCAATGCAATGCCGTCCCTTGAAGACATGTGGGGAACTCACGCAAACGTCGAGCATCATCCCAAGAATGATACGTGGCAATCACCGTGAAGTGATCGAACCAATGGTACACATCATCCCCAGAATTCCCACGAAAGAACTCCGGTCGAACACGAGGATTGGCACCAAGAGCAGGAGGAGTTGTACCATGTGCCGTGAACGAATGGTACATCTAAACAATGCAAAAAGCTAGATCTAAATCAAAATCCTGAAAGGAAAGAACAAAAAAAAGGAAATGGAAAAAGCTAGATCTAGACAATGCAAAAGCTAAATCTAAACCGAAATCCCAAATCCAAGCACTCCCCAGGGACAATCAAAGGTGCCCCTCATCTCTACCAATGTGAATGCATAAGGGAATACAGAAATGTGCATATCAATTAGCCCAAAAACCCTAGTTTATATACAGGAGCGAGTGGTCCGGATTAAAACCAATCCGACGGCTACCAAAATCCCACTATGCTAATATTAGTATATGGCATTGTAGCTGTACACTTGACCTTCACACACTTAAATATCATAAAGAAAAGCAAGTTATTTGTTTATTTCCTCTTTATACAAGTATGATATATTGTCATGGTGAATCTCTACAAGGAGTATAAGTGTGTAGTATATTCATTGTTGGTTTTTGGATTAAAATACATTTTATTTTATAACATTCTTTATAAGTCCCCATATGTGAGCTCCACCTGCTCCCCATACTCTCCCAAACCTCCAACATGCACTGGAGGCCCCTCTCATCGGTTGCCCCGCCAACCGATTGAACAATCCCACCCTCATGCCATTTTCATAGCTTCGTTTCAATATGGAGATGAGGGCAACCTGAGGAAACATCTGATAGAAACAACAACCAAATCAAGGCAAGGATCAGACTTTGGCTTTAATCTCTGGTTGCACATCTTCCATCAAAGTGATTGTCAATATGCTAATCTTTACTTGTTTTGCAGATAACTCTTTCGAGGAATCACGGGTGGTTCCACCTTTTGAGCCAGTAGCGAATGTTTATTGATTAATAACCTTTCTGGAGTTGTCCTGGAAGTGGGAGAATTTTCTCTTTTACTATTTCATCCATTTGCGCAATCAACCACCAAATCCAATAAGCAAATGCGCAACACCACAGATAAATGGGCCACGTGGCCGAATCCAAACGAGAGAACCTCGCAGTGGAGAGGCGACAAAGCCTTGGATGATATAGGCTATGGTATCGCGCCAGGCGCATCCTCCTCTAGCTTAGGTCGCGAAGATCATCGCAATGCCGGCCATGGCGGGAGCGCTCGAATCCCCCGCTACTCTCTCCGGCGGCGCCAGGCACCAGGAGCTCCTGACGAGGAAGATCGGCTTTGGAGGTAATCGCCTAGCCCTAGCGCCACAGCAGAATGGAGCGAGCTCGCGGAGAATTGAGGCGAGGCTGAAATCCAGCGCCGGCTCCGCGAGCTCGTCCATGCTGCTGGAGCTCGTCCCGGAGAGGAAGAAGGAGAGCTTGAGCTACGAGCTCCCGCTATTCAATCCGTCCAGGAAAGGGCCTCTGGATCTGGTTGTGGTGGGCGGAGGGCCTGCCGGGCTCGCAGTTGCCGCTCGAGTGTCCGCCGCCGGGCTTAGCGTTTGCTGCATCGATCCTTGCCCGCTCAGCATCTGGCCGAATAACTATGGCGTCTGGGTGGACGAGTTTGAGGCGCTGGATTTGCTCGATTGCTTGGATCACACCTGGGCGAGCGCTGTGGTTTACATCGATGATGGTGTCAAGAAGTTCTTGCAGCGGCCATATGGACGCGTGAACAGGAAGCGATTGAAAGCCAAGATGACCGAGCAGTGCATCGCTAATGGCGTCCAGTTCCTGGCAACCAAGGTAAGTTTTCCTTCTCTCTTTCCGGACGTTGAGAATGCTTCATGGATTGATCTTCCTTGTTCTTTTTCTCGCGAGTTCTCATTCTTTGTTTCCTTTTCTTTGTTCTGAAGAACGTAGCGCATGACAGAGGAATCTCTCGTCGCAATGCTCCATGCATTGATCTTCGTCGTTCTCTTTCTCGCAAGTTCGTTCATTGCTCTTCCTCGTTCTCTTTCTCGCGAGTTGGTTCATGTTTTTCTTTCTTTCTCACGAGTTTTTCGTTCTCTCTTTTTCTTCTCAGGTGAAGAACGTAGTGCATGACAGAGAGAAATCTCGCGTCGCGTGTGAGGATGGAACTTGTCTCGAAAGCGCGTTGGTTCTCGACGCAACCGGGTTTTCGAAATGCCTCGTGCAGTATGACCAGCCTTTCAATCCAGGATACCAGGTGGCTTATGGGATTGTGGCCGAGGTAAGCTTTGTTTCTCTCGTGTTCTTTCGCAAAGCTACTTTCTTTGGCTTGGTGATCCATCCTCTCAGGTGGACTCGCATCCATTTGATCTGGACAAGATGGTCTTTATGGACTGGAGAGACTCGCACTTGGCTGGAAATCCTGAGATGATTCGTGGCAACAAGAAGCTTCCAACTTTTCTCTACGCCATGCCGTTCTCGTCAACCAAGATCTTTCTAGGTAGGACAGAGCTCGCATCCGCAAGTTCCTTTTCCTTTTCGTTATGCTTCTCCAGTGCTTTTGCAGAGGAGACTTCTCTAGTAGCGAGACCCGGCGTGCCCCTCAAAGAGATACAAAAGAGAATGGAGGTACGGCTCAGGCACCTGGGCATTCACGTAAAGAGCATCGAAGAGGACGAGTAAGTGCCATGCTTTCGTCCTTCGCATCTAAAAGTTTGCGAGTTTCGTGTAGAGTCTGCGTGATTCCAATGGGAGGTGTTCTTCCGGTTATTCCACAAAGAGTCCTGGGCATCGGAGGTACCGCAGGCCTAGTTCATCCATCCACTGGTAAGTTTATAGACGATTTTCTTCGCAATGTCGTTCTTTTTTCACTGCAAAACTTTCTTTTGATCTTTCTCTCCAGGTTACATGGTTGCGAGAACATTAGCCGCGGCTCCGGTGGTCGCAGACGCTATCGTTCGCCAGCTCGGTAGCAGTAGAAGTAGCAGCAGTGTCACACTTCTCCCCGACGATTTATCAGCTGAAGTATGGGCCGATCTCTGGCCGATCGAGAGAAAGAGACAGCGGGAGTTTTTCTGCTTTGGCATGGACATATTACTCAAGGTAAGCTTTCTCTCTCTCTCTCTCTCTTTTTTGTTCTTTTGGTTTTTCGTTCTCTGCTCAAACAAACTTATCCCAGCTCGACTTATACGCGACGCGGAGGTTTTTTAGCGCTTTCTTCGACTTGGAGCCTCGGTTATGGCAGGGCTTTTTGTCCTCGCGCCTTTATCTTCCAGAGGTCTTTACGCTCCCCTCTATCAATTCACATCCTTGGCAGCTTTCCGTTGTTGTTTGATTCGGCCACTCACAAGTGTAAAAATTCTCGCAGCTCGTCGCGTTTGGTCTGTCGCTGTTCGCGCACGCACCGGCAAAATCGAGACTAGAGATAATGGCCAAAGGAACTCCAGCGCTTGTCACGATGGTAAACAATTTAATCACCACAAAGAGCTAAAAACGTTGATAGAAGTAAGGAATTTCTTATAAAGAGAACAACCTCCGTGCGTTTTAAATCGAGCGGATATTCTCTGGGGAATCTAAGGCAGATTTTTACCACTGGTCTCGAACCCGGGACTTTTCGTGGGGGCTATAAATTGTAAAGTGGGTTAGCGAGTTTTTTATTTCGAGGAGGGAAGGTCTCGCGATGGCGGAGGAGTTCTTCTGGTCCGAGAGCGACGAGCCTCACGCATTGAGGCGGCGCCAGATGCTAGCCGCGTATCCGGAGATCAAGGAGCTCTTCGGGCCAGATCCATCGGGCTTCTTTAAGGTCAGCGCCCCGCCCTTTTCTCTCCTTGCTCCAGCGCTCAATCCCCATCGCCGCGGGGCAATGTGGGATGCTGGCGCCTCCGATTCGCGATATTTCGATTCATTCCTCCAGTTCTTGTGCAGATTGCCGGCGTGGTGCTGCTCCAGATTTGCGCCGCGGCCCTGGTCCGCGATCTCGGCTGGCCCTCCATCGTCCTCCTCGCGTATTTCTTCGGCGCATTCCTCAATCACAACCTCTTCCTTGCGATCCACGAGCTGAGCCACAATCTCGTCTTCGCCACGCCGCTCCTCAACAAAATCCTCGGGATTTTTGCCAATCTCCCAGTCGGCATTCCCATGTCCATCACGTTCCAGAAGTACCACTTGGATCACCATAACTATCAGGGGATCCAGGGCCTGGACGTCGACATCCCCAGCTACAGCGAGGGCCGGATCGTCAGGAACACCGCTAGCAAGATCGTCTGGGTGTTCTTCCAGCTCTTCTTCTACGCTCTCCGGCCACTCTTCGTCAATCCAAAGCCTCCAGGACTCTGGGAGGCGCTTAACTTATCAGCACAGCTACTCTTCGATGCCGCCTTGGTATACTTCGCGGGCTACAAGCCACTGGCCTTTCTCATCCTCTCGACGTTCCTGGGTGGCGGACTCCATCCCATGGCCGGGCACTTCATCTCCGAGCACTACGTCTTCCAAAAGGGCCAGGAGACGTACTCTTACTACGGCCCGCTCAATCTCCTCACCTGGAACGTCGGCTACCACAACGAGCACCACGACTTCCCGCGGATCCCCGGCAGCAAGCTCTACAAGCTCAAGCAGATCGCTCCAGAGTTCTACGAGGGGCTAGCCTCGCACAGCTCCTGGATCGAGGTGATCTACAGATACATCACGGATCCCACCATCGGGCCCTTTTGCCGAACGATCCGGAGGCCCGAGAACAACATGCTTTGCCGGAGACTCAACGAGATGGGTATCAAGAAGAGCTCTTGAGCGCCACCATCCCCTCCTCAACAAGGTGACGAGCTCTAGGCTCTATATATCTTCTATAAGTTCTATCTTCTATAACTATACCGTGATCACAGACAAGCTTTGATGGTGACGACGAAAGCGAAGACAAGGGCGAAGAAGTGGCGCTATGGAAACTAAGATCATGGTCCTCGGCAGAATCGGCATACAGGCTCGCAAGCAGCAAATAAGGTGTGGAGGCTTGGTCGTCGGCTCTTAATAAAATCTCGGCGGCTCTGGATCCACGATCTAAGTCGTTGTGCTTCCGGCATGCCGCCAGCAGCGATCCCCAGGCAACTTGGTCAGGAAAGAACGGCATGGTCAGTATGAGCTCCTCGGCATCGCCGGTTCTTCCCGAGCGTCCCAGCAGATCGACCATGGAGCCGTAGTGATCGGGGCCAGCGCCAACGCCGTGATCCGCGATCATGCTCAGCAGCTTGGATCGCCCAAAGCTCGCCATTCCCAGATGGTTGCAAGCCAGGAGGACCGAGAGAAAGGAGAGCTCGTCCGGATCCACGCCGTGGAGCTCCAAATTTTGGAAGAGATCAAGAGTTTCCAGGCCGTGGCCATTGAGCGCGTAGGCCTGGAGCATCGCGTTCCAGGTGATGAGATCCACGGCTAAGTCCTCGTCCTCGAGCATGGCATCGAAGAGATTCCGGGCATCTGCCACGCGGCCGTCGTGGGCATATGCCGTGAGCATCGCGTTCCGGGAGATGAGGTTCTTGTCGGGGATGGCGTGGAATATCCGCATCGACTCGTCCGTGTGCCCGCCCAGGGAGCAGGCGTAGGCCAGCGCCGTGCGCGACACCGCGTTTGGCGCCGGGATCTGCGAGAAGAGCACCCGGGCGGCCGGCAGCTCGCCGTTCTGGGAATATGCCTGGAGCATCGCGTTCCAGGAGCTGGTGTTTCGCATTGGCATCTTTTCGAATGTAGCTTTCGCGTCTTCTATCAAGGAATTGTCTCCAAATGCCGTGATCATAGAGTTCCAGGGAATGAGGCCTCTAGAGCACAAGGTATCAAAGAATCTTTTGCTCTGGGCGATGTCTAGATTGCGTCCATAGGCTGTGATCATGCTCGTCACCGAGAACTCACCATGCTTTGGCGCTAGATCGAAGATTCTCTTCGAATCTACGATCCTAGAAGTCGCGATGAATGCCGCTAGCAGCGCGTTCCAAGAGATGGAATCTTTGGATCCCCGTGGCATGGAATCAAAAAGCTCCTTTGCTCGGCCAAAATGCCCTTTCTCGGCAAGTGCGGTAATGGCCACTGTCCACGACACGGTGCCGTACATGGGCATGTGGTCCAGGACACGCAGCACAACATCCACGCTGGCGCCATTCTCCACGTACGCACCAACCAGCGAGTTCCACGTGAGCATATCCCTGCCGTCGGTGGTCTCGAAGAGCTCCACGCACTGCCGTAGATGCCCGCTCTCGGCAAATGCGGTCATCATCGCGTTGTGAGACACGACGCTGTGTTTAGGGCTCTTGGAATATGTGGATCTCGCCATCGCGAATTCGCTCGTCACGGTCCACAGATGGAGCATCGAATTCCACGACACGACGTCCCTCTGCGGCATAATCTCGAAGAAGCTCCTCACGGCGTCGATTTGCCCGCTCTGGATCTTCGCCGCGAGGAGGACATTGCAGGAGAAGACGCTCCAGGCCGGCATTCGATCGAAGATCCACCCGGCCTCGCGCGTGGTGCCGCAGTCGGCGTAGCCGGAGATCATCGAGGTCCAGATCACAAGGTCGCGGCAGGGCATGCGATCGAAAATCCTCTTGGATTCTTGGGGATTTCCATCCTGGAAGAGGGCCGAGATCATCGCGCTGTAGGAGAAGACGTTCTTGGCAGGGATGCTGTCAAAGACGCGAATCGCGTCCTCCAGGCTGCCGCATCGAGCGTACATCCGGATGAGAAGATTGGCAAGGTATCGATCCAAGCTCTGGCCGCTTTGCAGGATGGATTCATGCGCTCGCCTCCCCTGGGCAAGATCCCTGGTTTGCGCACAACTCGCGATGATCTTGGCGAAGGAGGAATAATCCGGGCGCTTGCTAACGCTCATCTGATGGATCGATGCCGCTCGATCTGGAAGAACTCGCGTCCAAGATCCGATATTACGGGCAGATCAGGGATCTTTCCGGTGGCCAGCGCCTCGATCGCCTCATCCAGCGCAGTGGCTTCAGCAAGAACAGGTATCTCTTGAATCTCCTGGTGGAGATGTACGCCGATTGTGGCAGCATCGATGCCGCGACACAGGTGTTCTTCCTGATCGACCGCCCCAATCTCTTCTCCTGGAACATCCTTCTCACAGCGTATGCGCAGAACGGGCATCTGGATCGCGCTGCGGAGATCTTCGCGAGAATGCCCGAGAGGAACCTGGTGTCTTCAAATGCTATCATCTCGGCATATGCCCAGGCTGGGCAAATCCACAAGGTTCTATCGCTCTTCACGACTATGCTACAGAAGGATATAATCTCGTGGAACGTTCTTCTCAAAGCGTATGGAGAACAGGGAAATGCCACGCTAGCAAAGGAAGTGTTTGACAAGATGCCAGAGTGGGACTTGGTATCGTGGAATGCCATGATCGCCGCTTATGCCCTGTGCGGGCATATTGGCAAAGCGAGATCACTGCTGGGGAGAATTCCCATCCGGAGCGTTCTCTCTTGGAGCTGCATCGTCCAAGCCTTTGTCCAGCACTCCGGGGACTTGGGCGATGCCAGGGAAGTGTTCTTCGAGATGCCGGAGTGGGATGCCGCGTCCTCCACTGCGATTGTCACGCTGCTCTCGCAACAGTGTGGCCTGGAGCAAGCCCAAGAGGTTTTCAATGGGATGCAGCACAGGAACGTCACGGCCTGGAACGCCATGCTGCTGGTTTACATCCGGTGCGGGCATCTGGAAGGAGCCGAGAGTGTGTTTCACTCCATGCCGAGGAAGAACATCGTCTCCTGGAACTCCATGATCCACTTCCACGTCCAAAACGGGAACTTTGAGTCGGCGAAGCGGATGTTCCTCTCGGTGCCCGAGCACGACGTGTTCTCGTGCACGGACATGATAACCGGCTACGCTCGAGTCGGGCTCCTCAAGGATGCAGTGAAGATCTTCAGCGAAATGCCTGAGTCCAACGTTGTTTCCTGGACTGCGATCGCGGCGGCGCACGCTCAGCTCGGCTACACTGTAGAAGCGATGGATCTCTTCGACAGGATGGCAGAGAGAGACGTGGTTGCGTGGACAATGCTGCTGACGACTCATGCTCAAGCCGGGAAGATCACCGAGGCGAAAACTCTCTTTGATCAAATGCCGGAAAGGAACTCCTCGTCCTGGAACGCAATGGTGGCGGCACTCGCTCAAAGCGGGGACTTGGAGGCCGCAAAGTCGCTGCTGGACAGGATGCCACATCACAGCGTGATCTCCTGGAACTCCATGATCGCGGCTTACGGTCGCCTCGGGTACCTCGAGGAAGCGAAGAAACTCTTCGACCGAATGCCCGAGCACAACTTGGTATCCTGGAATTCGCTGCTCGCCGGACACGCTCAAAACTCCAGGAAAGCCGAGGATCTCTTCGCGTCCATGCCGGAAAGGAACCTCGTGAGCTGGGACTCGATGCTGGCGGCGTACGCCTGCGAAGGAAACGCTCGGGCTACCGCTAGGATGTTCGAGAGAATGCCCGAGACGGGATTGATCTCCTGGAACCTGGTCATTACGATCACTGCTCGAGCTGGACACGGCCAGGCGACGCTAGATTTCTTCCGGCTCATGAACTTGGGTGGAGTCTTGGCCGACGAGATCACTTTCACCGGAGTTCTCACGGCTTGTAACCATCTCGGGCTGCTCGCCGAGTGCTGGGAGTTTGTCCTCTCGATGAGTGCCGACTACCATCTTGCGCCGGCGATGGAGCACTACTGCTCGGTGGTGGACATCTTGGGCCGCTCGGGCCAGCTCAAAAACGCCGAAGAGATCATCCGGCAGGAAGAAGAGGAGCAAGGATCGTCCTCTGGAGCCGCGGCATGGAGAGCCCTGCTAGCTGCCTCCAAGATGCAAAAGGATGGAGCGCGCGCTATTCGATCGGCACGAAGTGTTATTCGTCTCGATGGTGGAAAGTCTCTACCCTTTATTGTATCAGTAGGCTTGTGAAAAGAAAATTCTTTGCTTAAAGCTTAAACTGAGTATATCCTGATTAAGTGGAGGATCTAAGAAATATTGTGGTCTAGGAAATAAGTACTAAGATTAAGAGAATAAGAATAACTATAGTGTAACAGGTTTTGCATTAATGGTACCTCTAGTAGACTTGAACATATAAAGCACTGAAATTTAATATATAAGCACCTCCACAAGCCACTTATCCCAATCATTTTCAATATCTATAACAAAACTCAATAACGAATTATAAGGAAAAAGATGACTTATGAACGAACAATGTCAAATATTGTCTATGTTTATTCAAAGTTTAGTAGTTTTAGATAAAAAAACTGTATGATTACTTTAATTAAAAAAAATCTGTGGAAACTCATGCTTAATAGTCTAATATTATTCTTAGTCTGTTGTAAATCATGTAATTTTAATAAAGAAATATTTTTCAACGATAATAATGTTAACCGCAAGAAAACTTTATTGTTTTACATAATAATAATAATAATATAACATATAATAACTCATTGCAAGATATTTTTATACACCAAAAAACACTGAATCGCCAACTCTCGCTCACGCGGGCCGGTGATCCTCCTGCCCAATGGCTTTGTAGAACTCGAGCGGGATCTCTGAGTCACACACCGCGCAAGAGCAAGCGCACAAGGCATGCAGCATCAAGCACTGGAGATGGTACTCGTGGCCGCAAGACCCCAGCCGGTACCACCCCTCGCTGGAGAACCTCGCGAAGCAAACCGGGCACTCCTTCCTCTTCTCCTCTTCGCTAAACCCTGACCCCAGCGGCCGCCCCCGGAGCTCCTCCAGCGGCGTGGGAACCATTCTCGGATTATAGCTCCGCCCGCCACCATTGCCGCCACTCCGAGCTCTAGACTTGATCTCCTCCGCCTCCTTGACTCGCTCCTCCAGCTCGCGGCACCGGATCTCCGCCAGCCGGAGCTCCTTGATCGTGAGCTTGAGCCGGGGCATGATCAGATCGTTCGCCTTTCCCGACGTCCTCGGCCTCTTTGGAACGTCGCGGAACGGCAAAGACAGCGACTTGGCGGCGGCGGCGGAGGTGGCGGCGATCTTCTTGGCGGCGGCAGAGGTGGAGGCGATCTTCTTGGCGGCGACACGGGCGGCGCGGCGGCGGCGGTGGTTCTCGGTGTGATGCTCGTGAGATCGGGTAACCGCGGCGTAGTCCACGATTCGCTTGCCAAAGTATTCGAGGTAGCAGTAGCGGAGGAACTTGATGGGGAGGCGCGAGAGCGGTGGTTCCACGCCGTAGAGCTCCTTGTGTCGGAGCGTGGCAAGCTCCACAAACCCTGGATCGGAGCACTGGGTGCCGTCGGCGGAATGGCGCTGCGAACTCCCAAACAGCGATCGCACTCGATCCGAGCTAGCACAGCGTGTCACCGTCGCCCAGGCTGTGACCACTGGCGCCGCCCCGGGTGATTGCTCGTTCTCACCGGCATTATCGGATTTCGTGGAGCCCGTTTCATCCACCGCCGCCGCTGACGCTGCCGATGCTGCAGCCGCTAGAGAAAGAGAAGACACAGTCGCAGGGGCAATCTCACCGTCTTCCAGCTCCATTTCTCGCGAAGAACCCTAAAAAACATTTTAAGTACAGTAAAGGCTATAGTCAACGGTAAAGGTAAACGACCCAAGAACCCTAAAGCTTTTAGGGTTTTCGGTTTTAGGGCTCTTCGCGGGAGCGATGATCTTCAGACGGTGGAATCTCCTCACGGGCACCGCAGCTGCCTTCTCGGCTGTGCTGGGCGTCTCGGTCGCCGCTGGATTGCTGCTGGTAAGCGCTCCATCCAACCCACAGCCCTAATTCTCTGTTTTGGGGATTGATTCTTTGTAGCATTCTGCCCAGCAGAAGCCGCCGGCCAAAGCACAGGAGAAAGAGACGAAGAAATGATCCAATGTAAAATCGATCGAATCTAGGATCGCTCCGAAATAAAGAAAATTAGGAAGTTCTTTGTATTTTTTCCTCTCAAACCATGAGATTGTCAAATGATAATAGTTTACAAGCTTTGTTCTCACAGAGAGGCATCCACCCAGCTATCATCGAAGGCGTCCTTGATGTAAACCCTACCATTCATCTCCTTGCACTCGCCATTGTTGTAGCAAACGATCGCCCTCCTGAAATCTGGGAGCTTGGCTAGCGCCAGAAGAAACGGCGCCAGTCCCTGGAGAAAGCAATCCCCGGGCGATCCCTCGAACTTCTCAGCCCTGACGACGTTCTCCCTGTACTCCTTTGCGTAGAAATCCACAAGATCATCCAACGCAACCAGCCTCTTCAAATCCACACCACGAAACTCTCGATCGGCAAAACCCAGATCCTTGAATTTGGTTCCCTCATCGATCTTGCAGTGCCCACTATGAAGCTTTTTCCAGATCATAGTCTTTGCTGGATCCAAGTGATCAACGACGAAGTTCACATACTCCTCCACCCCAGCGCTAAACACCACCAGCCGGAAAACCTTGGAAATCCTCTTTAGAAACGCATCCACTCCGGGCCTCTTCATTATAAACAGTGGAGATTCCTCGCCCGCGCGCTCCATTGTGAAGTCTGATCCGGCCACCATGTCCGTGTGCGCGTAGACGAGCGTGTTGTCCAAGTCGAGCACCATTGTAGGCTTTACCCTTGCCATGTTTCTGAAGAACCCTAATCTCCTTTTCCATGGTTTTGAAGCATTTTGCCACGTAGGACTATGAGTTGGACAATACGTTTGTTCTAGGGTTTTAGGGCGGGCGGGAATGGCGATGAAGAGCAAGGCGCGCTTCTTCGTGGCTGTTCACGTCGGCGCTGGCTACCACGCTCAATCCAATTCCAAGAACTACCGCAGGGCGATGCGGCGAGCTTGTCTGGCCGCCGCCGCGGTTCTCTCCCAGGTAGATTGCGCGATTTCTCTTGTGGGAGCTGGGGCTTGATTGATCTGATGGAAATTTTGGGAGAATGCGGCTTATTTGCTCCCTTGGTTTCGAGTTCTTACGAAATTCTTGCGGATTCTTTAGAGCTCCGGGACCAGCATGGATGCCGTTGTGGCAGCGATCAAAGCCTTGGAGGTGATTAAGAATGCTTCAATCGTGTTCTATCTCTCATGAATTTTCCAGGATGATGAAATTACGAATGCTGGTCGAGGGTCCAATCTGACTCAAGAGGGAAACGTGGAGTGCGATGCTAGCATAATGGATGACTCGGGATCGTTTGGTGCTGTTGGTGCTACTTCAGGTAAAACCTTTGTAATTTTTTTTTTCTTCTGTCCGCTCAAGCGAAGAATTCTAGGTGTCTCAAATCCTATCGAGGTAGCTGCGCTTTTGGCTAAAGAAAGTAGACACGGTTCTTCCTCGCTTGGATTAATTCCACCCATGTATGTCTGATTGATTCTTCCCTGTATCATCTTAGTGTTGGGCTTCCAGTTTTATAGTTGGCGATGGCGCGAGGCAATGGGCCAAAGAGCATGGAATCGAAACCATGGAGAGTCCGGAGCATACGGTTTGTGATTGATAATCCGTAGTTGTTGCTGATTACAGTGCTTCTTTTACAGCTTGTCACGAATAGATCCAAGGAGCAATGGCTCAAGTATAAGAACATGATGACAAGTATGGATTCGTCGTTTCCGAATTTCTTTTCTTACTTGGATTGTCTTTCTTGACCAGAACAGCCAGAGAGTAATTTAAGCAGAGAGGACGTGATGCAGGACACGGTTGGTGCAGTGTGCGTGGACGACAAAGGAAATATTTCGGCTGGAGTTTCTAGTGGTGGTATTGCTATGAAAGTCCGTTATTCTTCGTTTTCTTTGGATTATCATGTTGCTAATCCCCAAGAGCTGCAGGCTAAAGGTCGAGTCGGACTTGCTGCGGTGTATGGATGCGGTTGCTGGGCAACATCAAACTTATCATCTTCCGTGGGTTGCAGCACATCAGGAGCAGGAGAGAGGCTTATCAAGTCTCTTTTGGCGCGTGAATGCTGCGATTCTTTGTGGGAGTATGTTTTTCGTTGGACTTTGATCGTACTTACTTCTCTGGTTGTAACAGGTCAGATGCTGGCCCCGTAAGCGTTTGCTCAGACATTTTACTGAAGCTTAATCAAGGACACTTAGACAGTCAAAAACAGGATGCTGGGATTCTACTTCTACAGTCTTTCAAGTCATTCGTAAGTGATATATGTGGTTTAAAATCTATAATGATTGTTTTCCAGCCTAATAGATTGGAAGGAGTTGAATTCCTCGCAGCACACACTGCTCCATCATTTGGTATAGGATATTTTGCGAACTTCATGGAGCGGCCCAAGGTTTAAACATCGAGTCCGCTTCAAATGCATCTCTAATCTATTCTGTTCAAATTTACAGGCGTCGATTCTTAGGCAAAAGCCAGGTGACCACTCAGAAGTGAGAGTTTTGGCAACACGATTTTTGTTTACGTAGCATACTGTAGAGACAGTTGAATAACAGGATCAGTTGCAGCAATATCCTTGTTCTTGTTTATGGCTTTTTTCCCCAGGATGTCGGCACGCAACATGCAAATACTTGCTACCAGACATATCGGCGCGTTATTTCGGCGTAAGTCTCGATCTTTAAACAAAACATATGAAAATATAACTCGGATGCCTTCCTGTAGCAGATCTTCGCCTAACTTGATCTGGGAAATTTTCCTGGAGTAAGCTGGTAAAGAGCATGCAAGGGGTGTGAATCGCTTTAATTTTATAAAGCCTGTTCCGTGGTGGTGCATCAGAGAGAAACAGACGTTTTGAGAAGCCAAATTCCGCGTTGCATTCATAGCAGCGATGTGATCGGGCAGCTAGCGACACTAAGAAGTAAGATCAAACACATCTCTTGTGCTAAGAGCTGCCTAGTTTCGGGTATAACAAGCTGCACGTGATTTCATTGTGCAGGGACAGAGGGGTCAGGACCTCTCACGCTAAGTGCTCTACACAAGAGATGGCATTCATTCCGCACCGTCATACAAGCGCGAAAAGGAAAGGCTGGCCCGTCTGGCTCTGGTGGTGCTTGAAAAAGCAGGAGACCGTCTTTCCACGGAGGAGGGTCGTCGTTTTGCAGCGGCTTCTAGATTCTCTCAGTTCCCTTCCACCGTGGAATGTGGCTAGAGAGTGGAAGACAAGAGAACGAAGCTGATAGAGTTTTGCTCTCCTCGCCAGGAACCGAGGCCACTGGTAGTGGTCTTTTCCTTACGCAAGCCACGAGGTTGAGGCAGGACAGTGGTGTGCATTGAATGCAGGAGTGCTGCTGCTAAGACTGAGAGCGAGGTAACTTCTAGAGCAGGAAAAGCAGTGTCTTATTACCTCGTCTTTTCTTCCCATCCTAGAAGGATCAAAGGGGAGCGAGAAGAGCGCCGCAACAAGAAGAGCGCAGCAACAAGAAGAGCGCCGTTGACAACGACGATCCTGGTTACTCCTTCAGCTGTGGAGACTGGTGAGCTTTATCATGAACTCTCTAGCAGCATTCTTCGCTGCTCTTTCCGGCAAGTACTTAGCTCGATCATTAGGAGGAGGTGCTAGAATGAAGACTTACAGGGGAATGCTGCTCCTTTCAGTGATGCTAGTAGCTACAATGTCTTCGGCAGCAAGGGAAACAAGCGAAGTCATGGAACCGGCGCACCATTGTCCGGACCACGACGACGGCGATTATTACAGGTGCAGGGGTAGATTTAACGGGGGTGGAGGTCCCAACATCGGTGATGGAAGTGGCGGTAACTTTGGTGGAGGCAACGGCGGTAACTTTGGTGGTGGTGGAGGAAACTTTGGAAACGGGGGAGGGCCTGGTTCCAACTTTGGGGGTGGAAGTGGGGGGAGCTTTGGAAATGGCGGTGGTGGCCCAGGTTCCAACTTTGGGGGTGGAAGCGGTGGAAGCTTTGGGAATGGAGGTGGTGGCCCAGGTTCCAACTTTGGAGGTGGTGGTCCGGGTTCCAATTTTGGAGGTGGAAGTGGAGGGAATTTTGGCAATGGAGGTGGTCCGGGTTCGAACTTTGGTGGTGGAAGTGGAGGGAATTTTGGCAATGGAGGAGGTCCGGGTTCTAACTTCGGTGGTGGAAGCGGAGGAAATTTTGGCAATGGAGGTAGTCCGGGTTCTAACTTTGGTGGTGGAAGCGGAGGGAGTTTTGGCAGTCCTGGAGGGAACATCGGCAGTGGAGGAGGCAGCGGAATTGGTGGTGGAAGCGGAGGGAGTTTTGGCAGTCCTGGAGGGAATATCGGCAATGGAGGAGGCAGTGGAATTGGTTTTGGTAGCCCGAATGCCGGCGGAGGTGATGCGTCTGGGAGCAGCGGTGGTAACTCAGGTCTAAGAGTCGGTTTCTACTCGTCATCGTGTCCAAATGCGGAGAGCATTGTGCGAGCTGCCTTCTCTGGGAATTTTATTACCGATCCAACAGCACCCGCAGCTCTCCTTCGGCTGGCTTTTCACGACTGCCAAGTCGGGGTAAGCATTTTTCTCGTTTCCTTTTCATGCTTTTTTATACGTTTTGTTCTACAGGGTTGCGACGCGTCCATCTTGCTCGACTCGAAAGGTTCCATCAAAAGCGAAAGAGACTCGGACAAGAACTTTGGCATCCGCCGCTTGGATTTCATCGACAGGATCAAGTCGATGCTGGAGGCCGCCTGTCCGGGAGTCGTCTCGTGCGCGGACATCATCGTTCTGGTGGCCAGAGAATCCATCGTCTTCACCGGAGGCCCGACCATCCCCGTGCTCACAGGAAGAAGAGACGGCACAGCCGCTTCCAACGCCGCAGCCGACAGGCTCTTGCCTCCAGCAACCGTAAGCGTCGACAACTTCATCAGCCTCTTCGCATCCAAGGGCCTCTCTCTGGACGAAAGCGTTGCAATCATCGGTACGTCTCAAAGGCTTTTCTTTCCAGGACACTTTCCAAGGACGATTGATCCGAACTTCTGTACTTTTGCATTCCAGGAGCTCACACAATTGGAGTCGGGCACTGCGTCAACATTGTGAATCGGCTCTATCCAAACCAGGACAGTAAGATCGGCCTCCTGTTTGCGAGCCGGCTGAGAGTCCAGTGCCCGACGGCCAATCCCCGGATGCTCAACAACATTACAGTGATCAACAACGATATGACCAACCTCGTCTTTGACAACCAGTACTTCCGGGACCTTATGAACGGGCAGGGGCTCTTCACCATCGATTCGGAGCTTGCGCTGGACAGCCGCACGTCGCCCGTGGTAGCGCGCTTCTCCACGAACCAGCAGCTCTTCCTCGACACATTCTCTTCGGCTTTCGTCAAGCTCACGTCCAGCAATGTCTTGACGGGACAGAGTGGACAGGTTCGAAAGTACTGCCACTCGGTGAACTAGATTTATAGAGTATTAGCAGACGCCATTTTGGATGTTGCTTCTTGTCAAGAGTTTAGAAGTTGCATTTGGCTTCCACAAATATTGTATGGAGTCAGCACTTATATGTTATTTTGGAAGATTTTGTTTGAGTAAAATTATCATTGAGAAAAAATACAAAACAAATTTGAAAAATAAATTTAAAGAATTTATGAAATGAATTTAAAATTTAATGTTTAAAGTTGTATCAAAATCTTTAAATAAATTTTTCCAAATTTTATTCTTATTATTTTATATTGTTATATTATGTAATTTATTAACAATATATTAATTATCGAGATAGACAATTCATTGGCAGATATGGGTTTGGGTTGCCCTCCATAAGCCAACCAAAGTAAATGTAAAGTAAAGTCAATGGGAGGTGTAATTTTGAACTTTGAAGAAAAAATAAATTAAATTTCTTTCAAAATTAAATTAAAACTTTAAAAAATACTAAAAATGTAACTTTAAATTTTTTAAATTAACAATTATATATATTATTCTAAAGATATTATGGTCATTTATAAATTAAATTTTCTTTGTAATTAACCTTCTTAATATCTATAACATACAAAAACATAACTCACAGCATAATTGTTAGGATGAAGAGTGGGTTTAAGTTTTACTATTAATTATTATTCCCTTTTGTGTATTTAGTTTCACAAATTTAATCTTGCTATATTTATTTATATTTTATTTGAACAAGTTATATTAATATTAAAGTTGTGAGGCTTTTTGTTGTTATTATAGCAAAATTTAATATCTAAGGGAGTTGTATTAAGGATAACTCTTAATTAATTATGCCTTTAAAATTCTCTTGCTGTTAGCATGGAAATCCACAATTAGTGATAAGTGTTTTGCATGGCTTCATGCTTGGAATTTCCAATGCAAGGCTTTTTTTTATCCAAATGCTCTTCAGTATTAATATTACTTTGCAAGACCAAAAGTGCAATACAAACTCCCATTTCACAGCATCATTCCAACTAAATTTAAAGTTGACATAATTATAATTAATATTTTTATTAATATTACAAGTCATCCTTTTCATTTTAATTAAACTAATTAAAAAGGCACCTTTTTGAGAATAAGTATAAATGTGTGGACCCAGAATGTGTACACTAGGGTTTATTGCATCATGAAGAGGAAGGCAGAGGACGCGATCCCCATGCTCGATGATCTGGAAGACGAGGTCCAAGGCGACGGATGGGAGTACGAGGGAGGCTTGGCTTGCCCTCCTTGGGACCCGGAAGCTCTCAAAAGCTTCTGCGCCATGGACGACTGGTGTGGAGAGCCGGTGACGGCAAGAGTCAAGCCCAAAGAGCCCGCGAACAAGCCCAAGATTTCGAGCGAGCCCGAGAGGCCAGCGACTCCGAGCAAGCCCAAGAGAAAGAGTTCGAGCGAGCCCAAGAGGCCCAAGACTCCGAGCGAGCCCAAGCGGCCAAATATTTCGAGCGAGCCCAAGAGGCCCAAGACTCCGAGTGAGCCCAAGCGGCCAAAGGCTTTGAAAAGCTGTGGTGGTGAGGCCAAGACGAGGAAGAACGCGTCCGCAAAGGTGACGCCCGAGCTGCGAGCTCTGCTAGCGAAGGTGAGGGCTACGCTGCCCGAGCAAATCGACTGCCCGTGGTGTGGGCGCATGTGGTGCACGAGGTTCTACGATTTCAACAATTACAAGCCTGGGCAGCCGAGGTACCACTGTAAGCCATGCAAGCTTACCTGGACCAAAGACAAGGTGCCAAGGCCAAGGAGCAAAAGGCCAGCATTCTAGACGATGTTTCTTCTCACCTTAGATCAAAGAATCATATACAAACTTTTCTTACACGCTCGCTCATCGGAGTTTGTCTGTGAGCGCGTTGTTGGCGAAAGAAAGAACGAAGGGGAATTTGATTTACCAGAATTTCTAGCTTGCTACACCCACTTGGAATACCAGAAATGAAGAAACGAGGAAAAGAAAAGAAAACAGAACGCTACGTTTATACGCCACGCATCTTTAAAATTTTAAAGCTTTTTTGATTCAAAGTATAAAGCAAGACCAATGTAAGGCAGAGTATTGCAACTTCAAACAGTAGAGTCTTTCATAATTTGCTTCCCAAGTGCGAGAAACAACTGTACGTTTATACGTTTTTATACGTTTTGTTCTACAGGGTTGCGACGCGTCCATCTTGCTCGACTCGAAAGGTTCCATCAAAAGCGAAAGAGACTCGGACAAGAACTTTGGCATCCGCCGCTTGGATTTCATCGACAGGATCAAGTCGATGCTGGAGGCCGCCTGTCCGGGAGTCGTCTCGTGCGCGGACATCATCGTTCTGGTGGCCAGAGAATCCATCGTCTTCACCGGAGGCCCGACCATCCCCGTGCTCACAGGAAGAAGAGACGGCACAGCCGCTTCCAACGCCGCAGCCGACAGGCTCTTGCCTCCGGCAACCGTAAGCGTCGACAACTTCATCAGCCTCTTCGCATCCAAGGGCCTCTCTCTCGACGAAAGCGTTGCAATCATCGGTACGTCTCAAAGGCTTTTCTTTCCAGGACACTTTCCAAGGACGATTGATCCGAACTTCTGTACTTTTGCATTCCAGGAGCTCACACAATTGGAGTCGGGCACTGCGTCAACATTGTGAATCGGCTCTATCCAAACCAGGACAGTAAGATCGGCCTCCTGTTTGCGAGCCGGCTGAGAGTCCAGTGCCCGACGGCCAATCCCCGGATGCTCAACAACATTACAGTGATCAACAACGATATGACCAACCTCGTCTTTGACAACCAGTACTTCCGGGACCTTATGAACGGGCAGGGGCTCTTCACCATCGATTCGGAGCTTGCGCTGGACAGCCGCACGTCGCCCGTGGTAGCGCGCTTCTCTACGAACCAGCAGCTCTTCCTCGACACATTCTCTTCGGCTTTCGTCAAGCTCACGTCCAGCAATGTCTTGACAGGACAGAGTGGACAGGTTCGAAAGTACTGCCACTCAGTGAACTAGATTTATAGAGTATTGGGGAGATGCACTTTTGGATGTTGCTTCTTGTCAAGAGTTTAGAAGTTGCATTTGGCTTCCACAAATATTGAATGGAGTCAGCACTTATATGTTATTTTGGAAGATTTTGATAGAGTAAAATTATCATTGAGAAAAAACACAAGAATATTTTGAAAAATAATTTTAAAGAATTCATGAAATGAAGTTAAAATTTAATGTTTAAGATTTGTATCAAAATTGAAAGATCTTATAGTAAACCTTTCCAAAGTTATTATTATTGTTTTATATTGTTATGGTATGTAATTTACTAGTAATATATTAATTGCCGAGATGAATTGGCGGATATGGAGGAAAAGGATTTGGTTTGCCCTCCATAAGCTAGCCACAGTAAGTGGGAGGAGTAATCTTGAACTTTGAAAAAAAGAATTCTTTCAAAATTAAATTAAAACTTCAGAAAATAACTAAAAATATAGCTTTTACTTTTTTAAATTAACAATTATATATATTATTCTAAAGATTGTGTTCATGGCCAAGTATGTATTTATAAATTAATTTTTCTTTGCAATTAACCTTTTAATCTCTATAATATATAAAAAACATCACTCACAGCCTAAATATTAGGATGAAGAGTGGGCTTAAGTTTTATTTAATGTAGTGCTATTAATTATTATTCTCTTTTGTCTATCTAGTTTCACAAATTTAATCTTGCTATATTTATTTATATTTTATTTGCACAAGTTATATTAATATTAAAGTTGTGAGGCTTTTTGTTGTTATTATAGCAAGATTTAATATCAAAGGGAGTTGCATTAAGGATAAATCTTAATTACTTATGCTTTTAAAGTTATTTTACTGTTAGCATGGAAATCAGCAATGGGTGTTTTGCATGGCTTCATGCCTGGAATTTCCAAATACAAAGCCTTTTCTTGATCCAAATGCTCTTCAATATTAATACTGCCTTTCAAGACTGAAAGTGTAATGTGGATTCCCATTTCACAACATCATTCCAACTAAAGCTTAAAGTTAGCATAATTATAATTAATACTACAATTCATCCTTTTCATTTTAATTAAACTAATTAAAAAGGCACCTTTTTGAGAATAAGTATAAATGTGAATGTGTACACTAGGGTTTATTGCATCATGAAGAGGAAGGCGCAGGACGCAGAGATCCCCATGCTAGATGATCTGGAAGACGAGGTCCAAGGCGACGGATGGGAGTACGAGGGAGGCTTGGCTTGCCCTCCTTGGGACCCGGAAGCTCTCAAAAGCTTCTGCGCCATGGACGACTGGTGTGGAGAGCCGGTGACGGCGAGAGTCAAGCCCAAAGAGCCCGCGAACAAGCCCAAGATTTCGAGCGAGCCTGAGAGGCCAGCGACTCCGAGCAAGCCCAAGAGAAAGAGTTCGAGCGAGCCCAAGAGGCCCAAGACTCCGAGCGAGCCCAAGCGGCCAAAGGCTTCGAAAAGCTGTGGTGGTGAGGCCAAGACGAGGAAGAACGCGTCCGCAAAGGTGACGCCCGAGCTGCGAGCTCTGCTAGCGAAGGTGAGGGCTACGCTGCCCGAGCAAATCGACTGCCCGTGGTGTGGGCGCATCTGGTGCACGAGGTTCTACGATTTCAACAATCACAAGCCTGGGCAGCCGAGGTACCACTGTAAGCCATGCAAGCGTACCTGGACCAAAGACAAGGTGCCAAGGCCAAGGAGCAAAAGGCCAGCATTCTAGACCATCGATCCACATGTTTCTTCTCACCTTAGATCAAAGAATCATATACAAGCTTTTCTTACACGCTCGCTCATCGGAGTTTGTCTGTGAGCGCGTTGTTGGCACTGGAAAGAATGAAAGAAAGGGAATTTGATTTACCAGAGTTTCTAGCTTGCTGCACGCACTTGGAATACCAGAAATGAAGAAACGAGGAAAAGAAAAGAAAAACAAAACAGAACACTACGTTTATACGCCACGCATCTTTAAAATTTTAAGGCTTTTTTGATTCAAAGTATAAAGCAAGAACAATGTAGGCAAAGTATTGCAACTTCAAACAGTGAGTCTTTCATAATTTGCTTCCCAAGTGCGAGAAACAACTGTAAAATTTCCAGTGTCAAAATTTTCGAAGAGCCAATACAAAGAATCTCGTGATGCTCTGGGAGGCATCAATCCGAGCCATGACTCGCGTTCCAACTTTGCAGGAAGCTCTTACCGGCTTCGTAAGTGGACCAGCTGATGGCTGCCGCAGGAGTGTGAAACAAAACTCTAGGCTTTAACCCCTTGAACAGGGCCGCCGAGCCCTCACGGCGAACAATCTCCTTCACCACTTGTGTGACGGAGCTGGTTGAGTACTTGGTTGCACCGCAAACACCCTGAGAACAGCCACATCCAGAATTTAGAGCCATCGCAACTAAACTAGCATACGAAACGAACACTCATCTACATGCACAAGCATCCTAGAACTCAAGAAAGAAACGCTAAACCAGACCACAAGAACCAACACTATAAACTCTAAACAAAAAATACAACTCTGTGAAAGCAAAACTTTCAACTCCCATCTAAGAAGAGTGGAACTGAAACAACGGAAAGCTTGATGAAACACTCGCTTCTCAGAGACAAAAGAGACACATACCTGGCACTGGAGCCTCGTCTTGACAACATCAAACGGAGTAGTGATCCCACTCGCCAGCGCTCCGGCGGTGCCACCGGCGGCAACATGCGTCAACAAGTGATCGTCCCCAGCCTGATCCGGATACAACTCGGACAAGATCTTCTTGGCAGCCTCATACGCCGCAAAGTGTACCCCGGTGAACGGAATGTTCATCAAAACCGTGGTCCTGTACGAGGCGTAGAACCCCGCAAGCCCCTCGCTCCTGTAAATCCTCGCAACGCAGTCCGCCACCCCCTGGTATGGACTCCGGCTTAGCTGCAACCGCTGCTTCACCACGTCCATGGGCGTGAGCACCGTGTCGCTAGCGACGGTGGCGCAAGCCCCGGACGCCATATGGACTAGAGGCTGGTGGCCATCGCGGTTGCCTCCAAACTTCTCCTTGAAGAACTCGTAGCATCCAAAGTAGACCGCGTGGGACGGCCCAGCGCCGAGAACCATGGCTCCCAATCCTCGGTAGAACCCCGCCAGACCTTCCAGGCGCATGATCGATCCCACTGCCTTGGTGAGCGATGGAACTGGGGAGCCGCACGGGCAGGACGAAGGAGCCGATAGCATCTGGACGCGCGTCTTGACAGTGTCGACCGGGAACATTGCCGTGTGCTCTACCACGCCGGCGATGGATCCCGCCAGCATGTATTGCCGAAATCCCAGGCCGTCGTGGGGACCTTTCTCGTGCGCCATTGCTCTAGCGTAGGCGGCGCCGCTGATGGACAGCGGGAGATTTGCCTCTGCTGCCATTCCCAATGGCGCTGCTGCCCTGAGAGGATCCAAAATCGAGAGAGATCAAACCGATGGATCGTCCGAGATTTCCCTGGAACGTACCATGAGATCGCGCGAGCGAGCACGCGCCAATGCTGCCGATGCCAATGCCGATACCACGCGGCGCAGGTTAGAATAAAAACCCTAATCCTCTTCTCCTTACCCGGAGCCCTATCTTTCAAATGGACGGCACAGCTTACACCACGTGGTGCCTCAAATTCGGTGTCATGTCACCAAAACACGTCAGCTTGTAGGCCAAGTGGCTAGACATATTTGCGCCACGTGGAAGGTATATTTTCTACATTTGTACCTTGCTATAGCGATGGTGGGTCCTTTATACTTTATTTGGTGTTGTCCAATCTCCTCAGCGCTTTCATATCAAATCTTTTCGCCCAGTCGTCAACCCCAAATTGAAATGCAAGCTGCAAGGACAAAAAGCCGCAAAATCCCCCGGTTTAGCTCTAATGCCCCAGATTAGCCCCGCCTTAGCCCCTAAATTCCAATTGGCCGCTCTAATCCCACCGGCATTGTACCCTGTCCTCCACACCAGAAATACATACACGGTGACTTCACTCACCACGGTACACACTTGCCACAAAACGTGGTGACCCCGGCCCCCCAAAAAGGGAAAGCTTTCCCTCCCTGGCCATGGCTGCCAGGTGATAAAATCGGGAAATAAAGCCCCGGCCACGTGGCGTCACGCGGGTCGCAATCCTCCGCCGCGTCACGCGCCACGTCGGGCGCGGACGTGGCGTGGCGCCACGGTACGGACGGCGAGCGCCGTTAGATTAGCGGAATCTTAGACGGAGTTATTACGCTGCTCATCGTTGTTGCCAAAAATCCTAGCGACGAGCGCCCGCCGGGGGCGGCCGTCCACCGCCTTGATTCCGCCTCGCTCCATTCCTCGCTCGATTCGCGATTGATTGATTAATCTCTCTTTCTTGCTCCTCGCCTCGGGCTCGCGCTCTGATTTCTAGGATTTCCTCCGCTGCCGCATTACTGCGGGCCTCGTGAATATTACGCGCGATTGTACACGCCAGGGCGGAAGAACAGGCGCCAGCCAGCGCTCCCCCCCTTCCAAATTCCGGAATCCGGATGCCTGCGCTGGGATCGAGGCGCGGCGAGCGAGAGAGAGAGAGAAAGAGAGAGAGAGCGCTGCCAGTGGCGGAGGCTGGAACTAGGCCAGGCCAACAGATTCCCGAGGGCGCCGTTTTGCTGTTCTAGTCGGAGGCGTGAAGATCTTCGCCCGTGCCGTGCCGTGCCGTTCCTCTCTTGTGAGTATAAATCTTTAAGTCTGTCTGTGAGTGTGTGGGAGGAAGAGCGAGAGAGAGGGAAGAGCGTCGTCGTCGTCGTCGTCGTCTTCAAGTGGAAAGAAGGTTTTTCTTTCTTTTGTTTGTCTCATGGAAAAAAGAGAGAGTGTGGGTGTGCATTTTCGGGATCCGGGTATACTGGCTTTCATCCATTCCTTCTTCTTCTTCTTCCTTCTCTTTGCTTACTTCCTTCAAAGCTCCTCGTCTCTCCTCGCTGCTGCTGCTGCTGCTGCTAGAGCGATACCAGCATTCTAGATCCAGTCGCGAGCGAAAAACGATAAAAACACAAGAGGAGATTGAGCTTGTCAATGGTCGCTGGATTAAAATGTGGTGACAGGTTTGAGCTTGGTAACAGGGGAACCTAGACTGTAATTTGCTGCTTGCTTTGATTCCCTTCGTCCTTCCACCGCCATTCCAGTCTTTGCAGTCACTGTTTCCGAAAAGTTTCGAGAAAAGGAAGAACACTGCTTGGACGCAAGCTAGTCTTGACTCGTTGTGATGGTTTGGATTTGTGCATTTGCGCCAAGGATTTCGAGTTTCTTGTCTGTTTTCGTCTGGAGGAGATCGATGTATGCTTGTGCTCTAGGTTCCCTTGTTTCCAAATTCAAGTCTGGTACCAGTCAAGAAGTTTTCTGTTTGATTCTCGATTCAGAGCTTGGAGCTTACACAATTCGCGCATCGCACGCAGCATGGTGAGAAAAGGATCTATCAAAGTCCTTTACTGTTCAAGAACAGGTGCCTGGTTCCAAATTTCTTATCTTTTCGTACTTGGCTATTCCTTGACGGTGCCATTTTGCTTTTGTCCTCTAGGCATGCAGCGAGGAGCAAGTGATCGTCCGGCACGCCTCTTCTTTTTGTATCCATGGTATATACTCTTCGCTGAATCTATCTAATTCCTGCTGGTTTTGATAGATGCAGTGGAGTCGCTTTTCTTCTTGCCTGGTGATGCATCTCCGAGTTTCATCGAGGGCCACTGGAGACTTTTGTCTGAGAGAGAGAACTCTTGCCTTCGAGCTGGTTTGCCTGGAGACTTTTCGCATTGCTTGCCTTTGTTTACAGTGCCCGATCTCCCTAGTGCACATAGTATATGCGCTGCATCCACATATTTTGCATTATTTGGAGCATGATTTGTCTGCTCGCAGGGTCGACATATCTGATTGGATTACTGAATTTTGTTTAGCATTTTGCATTCCTGTCCCGGGACATATGCCTGAGATTTCATTGCAGTTGCCCAGTTTTCTATACTAAACCGCCGCGCAGCAGCAAACTCAAGCTCATGGCTTCCTTTCTTTTCTGCAATCCTTTAGCTGTCCTTCTCGTGTTGACGTTTACAATTTTTATCCAGCCGATAAGAGTGATGGTGAGATGCATAGATATATATGTACATTGATGCCACTGGATACTATCTCGTCTTACCACCCGGATGCAGAAAGGAGAGCGATTTCAGCTGAAAGCGATGGGAAAAGCACCCAAGCTGGATGATCTCAAAGTCAGGCCTCCGAGTCCTCCAACACCTTGGAAGGTATCCAAATCTAAGTTCCAGTTGCTGATATAACCTCGCTCACCGATTCTCTACTGATTTGTCAAGGAATCTTTTCCTTTTGCGTGCCTCGGAACCATAAAGCCCGTGTCATATACCATTCCTGTGCTGCTGCTGCTGCCGCTGCTGCTACTGCTCCTGCTGCTCCTCTGCCGCATTGAAGGTGCGTGTTTTCCAAAGGTGGAGAGACATGGGAAGTTCTAGAGTCAAGTGAAATGATTTGTCCAAGCTGTGCTGCTCGTGTCTACGTTTTTTAGATGTTATTTTGCATATAGTAGTCATATGCAGTAGTAGCATAGCAGCAGCATTGGGACGACGCACTTCACTTTGCCACCGTTATCCATGCATGCATTTCTATTTCTACTTAGTCACACAAGCACACAGAAGGAGGAGGACTTCTTTTTCTTGCGCGCCTGCCTTGACGTTTGTGGAAAAGAATAGCTATGCTTGGGCTGATCTGGTATGGAATAGCAGCGTAGCTGTGCAAGGCATTTGTAAATGCTGAAGGTGCATTTAATCTTGGAAGGAAAGGCCTTTGCTGATATCATTAAAGTAATCCGTAAGGCCAGAGGTCCATTTTCTTGGAGACAGTAAAGCCATTGAATTCAATGTCTTTTGTAGTATAGTAGTAGTCGTAGTAGTAGTAGCAGTAGTAGTGTTGCTTGCACCTTCCATGTCTTTTTATATCAGGTGTGTGTGGTCCTTGGGACTGGAGTCATCGCATTTCTTTCTTTCCAAGCTCTCTGATTGTCCATCGCGTCCATCGCTATTAGAGCTAATCTCTCCGGGAATGTTTACAGGGGCCTCAGTTAGTCCAGGCAGGGAAAGGAATCCTAACGTTTGGATACGCGGGTGCTCTTTTGTTGGGATCGATAAGCAAGCATCCACCAGGAGCAACGGTTTACTGGTATGAATGTGCTATAAAAAAAAAAAAAGAAAGAAATCCATAAACACCATCACCACCAGATCGTCTTACAGGTATTTTAGCAGTCCCCCTCTGCAGACAAAGAGAAAGCGAAGGCAACGAGCCAAAGGTACTTGCAACGTCTCAATACATATAGCATGGAATGAAAAAATGTGATTGTGATGTTCTGGCCCTTTTGCAGCAGAAGTTCAAAAATGGGGGATTGTGAGTACACACACACACACACACACACTCTTGCAGCACTGCAGCAGGTTTATGCAACACCAACACCACAGGAGGTAAAATTCAAAAGCCTCTCCCTCTTTACCTCTTCTGCAACTTGGGCTTTCAGCTACAGTCCTGCACCCTGCTCGTCCTGCTTCTTTGGCATCTTTCCACTCGCCTTTCTCTTTATCTGGCCCATTTGCAAACCAGGGAGCGTTTCCAAACCGGCCTGTCAGTCTCCCCATCCCGCTCGCTCTTTTCACTCCCTCTCAAAGCAACAAACAACTTGTACAAGAGAAGCTCGTAAACATTTACGATCCCTCGGTCGCTCGCGCTCGCGCGCCTCCCTCGTTCGCACACTCGCTCGTAAAGTCGCCATCAAAGTTGCGTAGCTTTCGTCCTGTGCACTTTCGTCCTGCTTGCTGCTACATTTGTCTCTCCCTTTTTTTTCCTTTTTTTTTCTTCCCTTGCTCCTTCGGCCTTACAATCTGCCAGGCTTGGTATTTTAAACCCGCCGCCGAACGGCTTCTAAATCTGAAGCCTGCCTTCTAAATTTGAATTATCCGCATCAGGCATATATGTGTGAGAGTCTGTGTGCAGCTGGTACTCGCTCGGGTACCGCAGAAAAGCCTCGTTCATAATGTAACCTGCAATGATTTGGCATCAGTCAGTTTCCTCACTTATAATACTTGTCTAACCTGCATTTACTCCCCAGCTCTATGGCTATAGCTCTCTCTATAGACCACCATGTCAAAGTTCTCGTCTTTTAACTATACTCTTCGCCTTCACTTTGATGGGTGCATTTCTCTTCTTTCCAGCTCGTAGCCCAATGAGATTCTTGAACGAATTTTGGGAGGGATCACACAGATCCCTGCTCCAGAGACAACATCATTTTCTATCCAGCCAAAATCCCATGGCATCATTGGAATAAATAGTGATCTTGTAGACAAGTCATAAGAGGATTGAAATCAAGCGTTTACATTTCTAAGCAATTTTGGTTTTGATATACCTATACCTTTTTTACCTTTTCTTTAAAGTAGAACTAGTACCCTAAATCAAGTTGTAATTTTCCTCCCGTGCGGATCACCCAGAAAGAAATGTCTACTACAGCGGCACTTTTCCAACCCACTTTCGTTGGTTCATTGATTCAGCGTGCTTTCGGCTGGAAAGATCTGCGCTGCAAGCAAGCATCGGTGACAATACACAAAAAACTATGGTTTAGCTACAACCCAGAAAAAGAAAAAAAAAAGAAAAAAAAAGGGAGCATTCTCTGTACAAGGTTAGACACAACATGGAAAGGATTAGCACAGCACAGCGAGAAAGCTAATCACTCACAGCCTTAGAAGCGTCATACCATTGTAGTAGACGATTATGAAAGGAAAAACTTTAAAGAAAAAACCTCTACAAAAACGAACACACAAAACGTTAATAGTGTCAACTGTGTCAGTCGTCACCTGGAAAGAATTCTCGAATCTCAAACTCGTTAGAAGCGCCATGTCCACCATGCCCACCACCACTTTGGTCTTTCTCTCTTTTCTTTGTTGACAGCGTAGCGCTAGTAAAACAACACAAATTCATCATCATCACTATCATCAGCCTGCGCAGATTCAAACAAAAAAAAACGACACTGTGTTGAAGTTAGCACGGCGTTAGCAGCAACAACAAGATCAGCACAAGAATCAAACCATGGCACGAGAAAAAATAAAAAATCCAAGTAAGCGAAACGAAAAAATAAATTGCGGAGAAGTGAGTAAGATATCACATACCTGGAGAGCCTTACTTCATCTTCATCTCGGACATAAACCGCTCGTACTCCGACTCCACCTGGTTAGCCGGCGGGTTCTCGGCCGCGGCGGCATTCGTGGCCCACGGAGGAACAGCCGGAGGCGGCGGTCCAGTGTAGTAGCCACCAGAGTACTGCGGAGGATAGCCATGGTACGCAGAGCCCGAGAACTCCGACCCCTGCGACGCCGCTCCCTGCGACTCTTGCGACGCTGGCGGCGGGGAGAAACCCGGCGGCGGCGGCGCTGGATCCACCGCGTACACCCCCGGCGGCGGGAACGCGTTGAAGGGTGGCGGAGGGACCGTCCCCGGTGGGGCCAGCGGGTACTGAGCGGCGTAAGGATTGAAAGGTGGCGGCGGGCCGGGACCCCACGGTGGTGGCGCCGCCATGGACCCGGGTGGCCGAGGAAACGCCGTATAGGCTCCACCGCCGCCACTTCCATCCATTCCATACGCCGCCGGGGCGCCTGGAGCCGGGGGCCGGCCAGCGATCCTCACCGCCAGCGTCTTGTCCTCGATCTTCCACCCGTTCATGCTAAACACCGCCTGGCTCGCCGCCGCCGGGTCCGTGAACTTGACGAACCCGTAGCCTTTGCTCGCGCCGGTGGTTCGGTCCTTGATCACTTTCACCTCCTCGATCTGTCCAAACGACGAGAAGAGCCGCTTCAAGGACTCGTCATCGTACGTCGCCGGCAAGTAGCCCACGTAGAGGTTCGTATCATCGTCCTTGGGCTTCGCCGTCAGGCCCCCCGGAGCACCACTCGGTCCCCCGAGAAGCAAAGTCGGCCCGGTGTGGCGGCCGACGCTGGCGTCGCCGCCACCGCCGCTACCGTCGGCGTTCACCTCCACCAGGAACTTCTGGTACTCCCCGTCCATCTTGTTCACCGCCGGTCCCTGCTGCGTGCAATCGCTCGTCGGGTGGCCGCCGTCGCCACACTTCGCGCACACCACCCCAGCCTTGAAAGTCGTGCTCTTCTCCGGACAGCAGTACTGCCGGTGCCCGAGCTGTCCACACTGGCGGCAGCTCTCGTCGTCCCGGATCGTCCCGTTCAGCGCCGCCAGCTCTCGCAACTGTGCTCGCTTGTGCTCGTTCCGCCCCTCCTCTACCGGCTGGAGGAGCTTCTCCACCATCCCAGCCGCCGCCTCCAGCGCCTCCTCGGTGTCCGCCTCCACCAGGACGTGCAAGTCCTCGTTCTCGGACGGATCCGGCTTCACGTCCCTCTTCTGGTGCGTTCTTCCTTCTTTCACAGACCCTTTCCCGCGGATCACGATCTTCGCTCCAGTCTCCTTCTCCATCCTCTTCTGCGTGTTCCCGCGAGGCCCGATGATGAGTCCTATGAAGTTGTACCCCGGGTACTCCTTCGACGGGATGTAGAGCTTCTTTTGGAGCTTCGGAGGTTTGTAGTCGGGTGGCGGCTTGAAGTGTGGGTTCTTCTTTATCATCTCGGAGATGAGCTCGTGACGCTCCTTCGTCAGCTTCTCGCGAGCTCGATATTCCCTTGTGTTGATCCTAATGCCCATGTTGTCGTAGATGGGCTCCGGAGATGGAGACCTCGGCATGTCGGGCCGGTCGTCGTAGAGCTGTCCCATTTGGAGCCTCCGGTTGAGCTCCAACACCTTGATATTGAGCGCTTGCATCTCGGGATCCCACTCGATCGTCGGGAAGTTCGACAAATTCACATTGGCCAGTAGCGTCTTGGGCTCCTCCGCGGCCCATCGCGACTTCCTCTTCTTGGGGGCGGCGGCGCCGCTGCCATCGCCGCCGGGCGGCCGCTGCGGATCGATGAGTTGCAGCTGCTGCTGCTGGCTTTGCTGGGGATTTTGGCCGCCGCCCTCTTCCCCGGTGGATTCCGGCTGGGGCTCCCATCGGCTCCTCCTCTTCTTACCCTCCGCCGAGCCCTGGTTCTCCACGGAGCCGCCGCGGTCGTGTCTGTGGTGGTGATGATCCGAGTCCGAGTCCGTGCTGTGGCGATCCTTGCCGTAGTGATGACGGTGGCTGTGATGCCGCTGGATACCTGGCGGGGGGCTCTCCGGGCTGCTGCTTGGCGCATACCATCGATCGTTCCATCCGCCGGTGCTGTACGCCATGGCCGGCTGCTCCATCGCTCCTATTCTTCCACTTCCAAGGTGCCCTAAATTTCGCGCTGCCCTAGCATCTATGGCGGTCTTTAAAACTCGGAGCGATTCCCGGAGAATATTCTCTGGGCGGGCTTGAAAAAGATTTTAGGGCGCACGGAGATGGATTTTAGGGCGGCCCGTGGCGATGGGATGGATCTTCTTTAGAAATTTTTTTTTTCAAGCCTTGCGCCAGGGATTTTGCCAGTCTCTTGTCATGGAGGTAGGCAAAATTTACTTTGTTCTCGCTTAGTTTTTCTCAATTCCTAGCTTAGAAGCTCGAGAAAATTCTTGCATTTTCTTATCTTTTCTGTCGTTTTTATGCTTCTTTTCTCCTGCAGGCCTGATGGATCGTATAAGAATTCATTGAATAGCACCGGCGACACCTTAGAACGGATTTGAAAGGAAAAATAACTATTCTTCATCCTCAGGTATCGCTCACCTATTGTCGTAGCTTGCTCTTCAGGTACCACGATTCATCGCTCATCTATTGTCGTAGCTATAGTGGGCTTTTCTCAGAATTTTTTTTTTTCTTTCCTTTGAATGTGACACTGTTTCCTTTTTTTCTCTCTACAAGGTCGCAGCACATAAACGCAACGATTGAGCTGTTCAGTACCACGACTTAACTGCTGGTCTATTTGTCGTTCCTTGAGGTAGGCCAATTGTAGCGCAGTTTGCAGTAGCTTTTGCTTCGATCAAGCACTCTTTTTACTTTTTTGCTTCAGGAAAACGAAAAGAAAAAAACCATTTTGATCCGCAGGCCCGCCTGACCGATGATCTTAAAATCGACAACATCAACAGCAACAGTGCCAACAAAGAACAAAGCGTCAAGTAAGCAAACCAGAGTTTTTAGTGCTCTCACTTTCCTCCGTTCCTTTCACCTCGTATTTTTCTAGATAGAAAAAACTCCCAGTACCACGACTCAACTGACCGAACTGACTACGTGATTTTCAGGAAAGCTGCCGCGGCCGCTGTTTGGTGAGCCGCGTTAAGGGAGAAAGAGATCTATGCGAATCGATCGAGCGCCATCAAAAGCAGATCACATCTCTCATGCTGCCAGATTACTCACCGTGCTCGCGACCGCCAGCAATCCTCGATCGAAACAGGCGAGCTCCCCCATCCTCGTTTCATTTATTTCTCCCTCCCTCACTCACTTTGCTTTCTCTCTTCGTGTAGGCTACACAGTGACGAAGAACGAATCTCTCTTTGTGCGATCACGCGGCCGGCTACCTTACGGTGTACAACCAAGACAAACTCTTTACATCGCGTCATCGCGTCCCCCTTGGCTCCATGGACCACCACACCCAATGGGGGGGTTTTTAAACAAAACAAAGCGGGGGGGCCGCTGACGTGTCTGAGAGCCCACGTGGATTTTCCCGGCAAGTGGCCAACTTGGCCGCGAAAATGGTCAAAATCTCCCCGTCCGCTACCTGGGCTTGCGCCACGTGGACGCATTGGACGAAGGGATGCTGTGGCCCATGCCCGACTGTACACACGCGCCAAGGGGGCCCATGTCCGTACTGTCCCATATGCTAGTACACGTGGGGACTGGGGGGGTTGGATGTCCGTGTCGCGATATCTGATTAACGACTAATCTACTCTTTTATCATATTTAAGCCTTTTTTAAGTCAGAAAAAGGTGACGGACCCATGGGAAAGGTTTGAAAAGACGTGGAGACGATCCCCCTCCTTACAAATGCTATCTTTTTTTTATATCCATGGTGTTGGACCCATTATCCCAACTCAAGCACAATGGGGAGTATACTATGGTTTTATTTTTATTCGATCAAACACATCATACTTCCCAACACCAGTGTGCCATATTATTTAAAATATTTCTTGTTTGTCGCGATAAGTAGAGGGGCCTCTTTAGTGGCAGCAGGGGGTGATAGGAAGGAAAGGCCTTTCCTTTCTTTGTGCGTGTGATGAATGTCCATGGCTTTGTGTACCACGCTACACTCATAGAGGGATATCTTTGACCTAAATAACACCCAAAAAATCCCAGCCGTCCGTTAAAGCCCCCGGATGGGCATCCATGCCATGCCCATGGATGTGACATGGGGACATGGAACAAACGTGTCGGTGTCCCCGGAATCGAACGAGGGACCGGTGCTTGTCTTGGGGAGAAGCCAGATAGCGAAAGAGGAGCTAGAAAGAAGGAGAAAGTGAAAGAGCGAGAGAGTGCGAGAGAAAGGGAGAAGAGAGGAAGGATTTGGCTGCACAGCTCCCGTGGATTTCTTAAATTTTGCACATGTTGAATCCATCGAGGAGCGATCCTGCATTGAGCCAGTGGCGCGCAGAGATGGAGCAATCCATCGCTTCATCCCTTGTCTGATCTTGTCTTGTCCCTCGCCTTCGCATTTCTTGTCCCATCTCGAGCCAGCCATCGCGAGCGATCGATTGGCCACGAATCTGGGGCGCCAAATTCGCGGACAAGCCATCCAGCAGCAAAATCCAGCCCAGCAGCAGCAAATCCACGCGCGGGATCGATGCCGCGGCCGGGGCCGAGGCCTTACGAGTGCATCCGGCGGGCGTGGCACAGCGAATCCCACCAGGCTCTTCGCGGGAGCCTCACGCAGGAGATTTTCAGGTAGAGCACAGCCCAGGTTTCCACTCCAAAGTCTCTGTTCTCCTCGCTCTCACACTGTTCTTGTGTGTTCTTGGCGATCTTCTTCCCTCCAGGATCGTGACGGAATTCCATAGGCCCGACACCCGCGGCAAAAAGGAATGGCAGGAAAAGCTTCCCATCGTGGTGCTACGGGCGGAAGAGATTCTCTACTCGAAAGCTCGCACCGAGGTGAGAGAGAAAGATTCCCTTGCCCCAATCCCAGCAAGCAAGCACTGACTCGCGATTCTTATCGGTCGGTCGATCGATTCATCCATCCAGGCCGAGTACGCCGACGCTTCCACGCTCAAGGAGCGCCTGGACGACGCCGTCAACACCATGATCCGGAGAACCGACGAGAACCGCGACCAGGAGGCCGCCGGCGATGGCCCCTTCATGGAGCCCTGTGTGGAAGGTGAGGCGATGCTCCTCTCCCCGATCGATCGATAGCGCGCGCTTCGGTCCGATCGGGAGGGCGCTCCAAATCCATGTCTGATCACTCCTCGCTCATGGGTTTCTCATCCTCTCTCGTGGGTCGCAGCTGCATTGTCGCTGGGATGCGCGCCCAAGATGAATCCCCGCGGCCAGAGGAGCTGCCCGCCCAGGATCAGCAATAGCTCCTCGGGAGCGTCCCTGCGAAGAACAAGCTCCGCCACGAACCCTATCTCCTCGTCTCCATCCTCATCCTCCTCCTCCTCCTCCTCCTCTTCCTCCTCTTCCTCCTCCACGTCCTGCTGCTCCTCATCGATTTCTTCCTCCTCCGCCGCCGCTTCCATCGCCACCTCTTCCGCCGCCGCCACCACCAGCTGCATTACCACCTCGTCCAATCAATCCCAGACGCTGGCATTCCTGAGCTTGGAGTCCTCCTCGCCACCGCCATGGCCCAAATCTCGAGCTCAAGCTCATCCATCGCCGCCATCCTCCATGCCCGAAGTACCACCACCACCACCACCTTCCAAAAACCGGCCTCCTTGTTTTCCCGCCGCCACCGCCACCACCACCGCCACCAATCCAAATCCCAATGTCAACTTCTCCATAATCTCTGGAATCGAAGCCCAGAGGTTCCAGAAGCAGCATCAGCAGCAGCAGCAGCAGCAGAGCCTTTGTGGCTTCAGTCCGCACTTTGCAGCTCCACTTCTTCCTCCAATGGGGAGCTTCAGGTTGCAGCCTCATGAAGAATTGCCAACATTTCCACCTGTTCCAACTTTTCCACCTGCCCCAAAGGATCAGAGCTACCCATGCCTGCACCACCTTCAGCAGCACCACATATTTCACCCACCGCCATCACCATTTCAGACCCCCAACAGGGTTTATCATCCACAGCAACAAGTTCAGAATGCTACCTCTCCTCCCGTCCACCACCCAAGCCAGAAGGCTTCACTCCCACCAATGTTTCCCATATGTTTGGAGCCGGCACCAGCAGCTGTGATGCAACCAAGATTTCAGCCCAGGGTGCGCAACCAACAAGAAGGGAACCACCCTGACCTGGACTTGTGCCTTGGACCGCCCAAGGTTTCGAGTTCCAGACCTAAATCTCATCTTGACCTTGCTGGCAGCGATGGCAGCCTCGTCAGTGGCGGTGGCAACACCACGGCGACGCTGAAAAAGGCAAAGATTGTCCTTTAATCCAGTGGGTTTTTGAAAGAGCTAAAACCCCCCCGACTTTTTACTCGCTTTCTTTTGATCTTGAATGGAACAACAACATGGGCTGACTGACACGTGGTACACCAGGTGTCAAGGACAGGGTGATTTATTTGCACCCAGGGTTTGAAGCGTTTGATCGTTTCCGAGCAGTCATGCAGGGTGTACAAGATCAAGTCTCGAGGTTTTCTCCTCCCCCGTTCTGAATGTCGATGTGATTCTTGCTTTGGTTCATGCTTTTCAGGCAGATGCAATCGCCGGATCCTCGCGTGGGCGTGGAGGAGGCCCATCAGGAATTGAAAGAGAAGTATGAGAACGCGAGTGAGGGGTTAACGCAGAAGAAGGATTTGGGTGGGGACGAGGGTGCCAAGGCGATGCTCAGGGACGAATACAAGGATGCCAAGAAGAGCATTGCGAGGCACGATGGCGTCGCAGAGGCCACTGACGCAGTGGAGCTCGCGGACGCAGGGTCACACCAGAAGAAGGATTGAAAACAAGTGGAACTTCCACCCATAATAAATTTTATTTAAATTTCTCAATAGTTATTCACACAAATCAAATGCAGGGATAATCAAATGGCAATATAAATACTAATGCCATTGTGAGTTTTTCACAATTGCAGTGCAGCAGATCTTGAGTCTCACAGTGGTCAAGCTTTTTTCCTCAATCCTTTCAAAGTGCCATCTATGCTTGGGATGAAATCTTTAGCTGCCACCTTGTAACTTTAGTAACCCTTATAAATTCACCATGTAAATTACACGTATTTATGGTTTATGTAATGTTTGAGTGGATAAAAGTGCTGCACACATTTTTTTCATAAAAACTGTGTGGATAGAATAATACAATGGTGTGTTATATATGTTTGTAATTCTCTAAATTATTCTTTGATCCCTCCCATCCCAATAGAGCAATTTTTAATTGGAAAAATGAGTGTAATTAGATTCTTTTAAAGTGCTTTGAACCCTCATTCTAGTTGAATGGGTCATGTTTCCAATAAAGTTAAATATACCTTTCATTTACATACCCTTTCACAATCTAAAAACTTATTCTTATCTTTTTATTATATATATGATTTAGATAAATTTCAGTTTAAATTGCTTGATGGATCCTAAATGATTTTTTTGAATTAATATCTCATGCCTGATAGGGATATATGAAAACCCAGACAAGTTAAAGTTGATTGTAATTTGCAAGAACTATGAAATATTTTAGGTTACATATAAAATTTGTGAAAAAAACAAAAAAACAGGTGAAGACAGGTGTGGTTAGGAGGGTCTAGATGGGAGAAGGTTGATATTAAGTCACTACCACATAAGCAAAGAGAGAGAATTGTTTAATGGGAAGTTCATTTGATATATTTGCTTCACCAAACACCTATCAATACCATTTGGGAAGCATTCAGAAAAATATAAAATTCTTCTTTATAACTTAGAAAACAAAAAGAAACAACCTTATGAGATAATGTATTATAAGGTTTATATAAATAATATAGAATTATTGTATAATATGTGCATCTTGTTTAAATAAAAGAATTTGATAGATTAATCAAGGTAGATTTAACATCTTTCCACTTAGTCTATGGGTTCATATTTATTGTTGATTTTAACGTTTTTTGTGAGTGTTCTGGCAATAAGAAAGAATGTGCAAAACTAATGAAAAAAAAATTATAACTTATATGGTTCAAGTTTAATTTTAATTTTAAGGTTTATTAAAGTTTTCCCTAATTTATTGTTCTAAATTTTAATATTTTTATTTTTAATAATTTTGTTAAAAGAATGATAGAATTGAAAGTGAATAACCACTTTAAATTATGTCATGATAATAAATTAATACATAGTTTAAATGTTCTTTTATGAAATTATTCACTCCACAATCATGGTTAGTAGAGTTAATTTGTTAATGTGGTAATTTCATTGTTGAGTGTGATAAATTTTCACTTGTTCCACATGTTCATGAAAAAAAAAGAAACTCAAGAAATATAATGGCATCCTCCTCAAATTCCAATCAAGAAGCAACTATATAATTATGACTCCCAAAAAAATAATATTCATAAAGCATGAAAAATAGAGAGTAAATAACTAATTTCTTTATATCATTTTTTTGTTTTTTTCTCTTTGATTTTATTGGGTTTTAAAAGGTATTTTTTGCTTGTTTCTCATTTTCCTAGATATTGAGAACAATCAAAAGAACTGATTTTCTTCATAATTATTACTAATGCCATGCTATTAGTCTCTATATTCATCAGGTTGAATTTGAACATTTTGTAGTGACTTTGTGAAATATACTTCACACTAGATTTAGCCACAGTGCCATAGATGTTCCTAAAGAGAAGAACATAAAATATAAAAAGTTAATAAGATTTTTAA